GAGACAGTAAAATATTCAGAAAATCATCTCTAATAATCCTACATACAGTTTTCAGTGGCTACGGATCAATTAGATGAGAAAAACAATATTATATGTCTTTTGGCACACTAGATTTCATTGGATTTCACCCCTAAGCCAGCCCTGTACGGCCTTGCAAGAAAATTGGAGAACAGTAAAATATTCAGAAAATCATCTCTAATAATCCTACATACAGTTTTCAGTGGCTACGGATCAATTAGATGAGAAAAACAATATTATATGTCTTTTGGCACACTAGATTTCATTGGATTTCACCCCTAAGCCAGCCCTGTACGGCCTTGCAAGAAAATTGGAGACAGTAAAATATTCAGAAAATCATCTCTAATAATCCTACATACAGTTTTCAGTGGCTACGGATCAATTAGATGAGAAAAACAATATTATATGTCTTTTGGCACACTAGATTTCATTGGATTTCACCCCTAAGCCAGCCCTGTACGGCCTTGCAAGAAAATTGGAGACAGTAAAATATTCAGAAAATCATCTCTAATAATCCTACATACAGTTTTCAGTGGCTACGGATCAATTAGATGAGAAAAACAATATTATATGTCTTTTGGCACACTAGATTTCATTGGATTTCACCCCTAAGCCAGCCCTGTACGGCCTTGCAAGAAAATTGGAGAACAGTAAAATATTCAGAAAATCATCTCTAATAATCCTACATACAGTTTTCAGTGGCTACGGATCAATTAGATGAGAAAAACAATATTATATGTCTTTTGGCACACTAGATTTCATTGGATTTCACCCCTAAGCCAGCCCTGTACGGCCTTGCAAGAAAATTGGAGACAGTAAAATATTCAGAAAATCATCTCTAATAATCCTACATACAGTTTTCAGTGGCTACGGATCAATTAGATGAGAAAAACAATATTATATGTCTTAAAACAAACTAGATTTTATTGGATTTCACCCCTAAGCCACCCCCACATACAATTTTCAGTGATTTCGGATCAAATAAGAAAACACAACTCTATTATAACAATAATTTCAATGGAATACTTACGCCTACCTTGTGTTTAGTATAAAGGAGAATTTCAAAATGCTAAAATATTTATAAAACCATCAGTCTTAATTATACTGTGTATTATTTTATTTTATCCCATTTTGACGTTTAAAAATGACATTATTGAAAGCATAACAATAAAGGTAAGTAGACGTTTATCACCTCAGTGATTTAAAAACATTTTAACTCACTCTCGGCATTTTAAGTCACTCTGCCTAACTAAAAATCTGAAACCTCAGTGAGTTAAAATATTTTTAAATCACTCTCGACATTTTTCCTTGTACTTTATTTTTCAAATATCCACAAAATGGGATAAAATTTTGTATACATCACGTGAGTTAAAATATTTATTCATTCGAAGAAAATTAACCCACTCGCTAGGGCTCGTGGGTTAAACCTTCTTCTCATCAATAAACACTCATTTAACTCACTTGGTGTATAAATAACTATTAACATTTCATTTATTGATTGAAATTGTTAATTTAAAAAAAAAAAAACGCACGGCACTGGTGATTCGGGTTTTTTCGGCAGATTGGCTGCTAAAAATTGGCTGCCATAATATATATTTAAAAAAAAAACGCACGGCACTGGTGATTCGGGTGTTTCCGGAAGATTGGCTGCTAAACATTGGCTGCCAACTTCACTGCGGTAGAGGAAACTCGGTATAGGGAAGAAGAAGAAAATACAGGGCATTTTTCAAGATCCTTTAAAAAAGGATTGGACTGGCAACAACTAAAGCTTTCAAGCAGAATATTCGAAAACTAGAGAGGAAACAAGTCTGTTTATTATTTGGGAACAAATATAGGTAGACAGAGTGTGAGGAGAGAAAAAATGAAAATGAAAAAGAAATTCCAGTGATCATAACTGAAAATCTAGTTGAAAAAATACCAAATAATGTTAATATAAATGACGATTGTATTATTTTAGAAGGGGACTGGATCAATGAATTTCTTCCTGAAGAAAATAATGACAGCAGTTTTCTCTGAAACAAACGAAGATGAATGTGATGAATCATTTATGATTGAAAAAATTGGCACTAGAAAAATGAATCAGAACACTCTTGAAACGTATGAGAATAGAGAAAAAGAACAGGACGGAGAAACTGAAGTATAGAAATAGTTTATGAAAACCCTAAAGAAATAGAACGCGATAAAATCACGCAATAAAATAACGAACATAATGAAACTGATAACAATAATGGTGCGGAACCGGGAGAAAAGAATTAATAATGAAAATGATAATCAAGAACCGATTAAAGAAAATAATAGGAATGTTTCACTAATCGTTTCCAGAAAAATAATGGAAATGTCAAGTAAATCTAAAAAATGGAACATATAAAGTTTTTGGAAGTTTATGAAAAGCATCCCTGTTTGTGGAATCACAAACTTCTGTGTTACAAAGACAGGAATATACAAGGGATAATGCTATAAAGGATAAGTAGTTGAAGTAACGTTCGAGTTTGGGTTCGTAAGTGGTTTTAGTATTACCACTGCTGAAAGTAAAATCATGGCATTCATCCGTTAACTCCAGACAGTAAACTATTTAATATTCGTGGAGCTTTTCGGACCAGATCTTGTGTTTGTTTCCCTTCCTTGCCTTCTTGTTTTTACGTATCTTCTGCAATTCTAGAAGTACCTAACAAAATTTCTACAAGAATAAAACCTGCTTGAACCTTTTCAGTTGACTGACAAACTGGCATGTGCAACTGGCACCAATAAACTATGCTGGTGGAAACGCCGCTTAACGTGGCTTAACTGTGTTTGATAGGTTGATTTGTAATCAAGCTTCGTACTCTATATTTTGATTTACTATTATTGCTTCATTTTCAAATACTTAATTTAATAAAAATTACCATTGAAGTTTTCACAAAAGGGATTACCAAAATTTTTATTATTTGCAATATAAAATCAATATAAACTTTCAAATATAATGAATTTTGCACAAAGCAACAAAATAATTAATATTTTTATCATATCCAATCAGTGGCGGCCAGTGGCAACCTAGTGTGGTTGTGCGCTCTTGGAAAATTTTTTGGAGGTGCCACGTCCTGTTTTACATTTATTTTGTATGTTGATTTTTTTTCTTTTTACTTTAGGAAAAATTATCGAAAACAAAAATACATATATGTATTTAAATGAGGCTTGAATGTTTGTATTCTAGCCATAATACATAATTGATATTGAAATTTATAATTAAAAAAAAAACCGCGAACAACAGAGTTGTCAAACCGCCAAAATGGTGAAAAAACATCGAAATATTCTCGATTGAGTGGAAACAACATTGGAAGTGTGTATTCAAATAGCGCACGGCGCATCCCTTTCATCGGGCGACTTACCGTATATTCCCGATCAATCGCACAGCGAGAAAACACATTTACCCAGAGCGCCGAACGATTCCACACCGACCACCCGGACCACCAGCACAACCAAGCGGGAGAAAAAAATATACAAGACAGGCACGGGGCGCGCTTTCGTTCCGTTCGTGCGAATTTAAAAATAGAAAAATGAGTAGATATTTATCCTAATTTAGAAAATTGGGTAGGTATTTTTTAATTGAAGTTTCTTTTCTTTCCAAAATTTTAATTTTATTTTCTTGCTTGGTTTTTGGAGGCAGTGCGCGCGCACGAGCGCACTTATTGAGAAGCCGCCCCTGTATCCAATAAAATAATGCACGATAAAATAGAGCCGGATCACGCAGTGGTACGCTTTAATTTTTCGCAAATCAATTTTCCAATTTTCCGCTCGGAGTTTTCCACAATATACCTACATATTATATCCGGTAAAATAAACTTTTGCAATTTATTAGTTGGGAAATACCTACATATTTTATCGATTCATGACGCAACTTTTGAAGGACACTTTTATTGAAAATGTGAATAGTATTTCTATATTCAAAAAAAAAAAATACGGAAATTATGAAAATTAATTAAATTGCGGAAAATTAATATCTATTAAAAAAAAAGGAAATCAAGTTTAACTACAAAAACCGTAGAAAGTCAGGAAATTAAAATACTAATAAAATTTAAAAATAAAAAATATTATAAATATTAAAAAAATATGGAAAAAAATGACAGAAATTAAAAAAAACGTGCGGAAATTAAATTAAATTGTCGAAAAGTTTTGTTTAAGTATATTAAACCAGAAAACATACAAAATATGTACCGGGTGTCAAGTTATGAAGTATTACCTCCGATAACTTTTTTATGTACGATCAAAAATAAAAAAGTTATTGATGGTGATACTTTATAACTTGACGCCCTGTACAAAATATCAAACGCCAAATTCTCTAGAATAAAACGTGTCATAATGAGTGCCACAATGGAACTTACTGTCTGATTAATAATTAGGAAAAATGTTCCAAATGTGGCCACACACAATTTGATCTAAATATTTTAGTGATAATGAGGCCTATGATGTATCCTCTCCTGTTATTTTAACAGCTATGTTATAGCTCAACATCTATACCTCTCTCTATTTTGACGTATATAATGAACAGTGACAGACAACTTAACGTTGCTGTTAAAATAACAGAATATGATACATCATAGGCCTGAATGCGTTGAAATAACGTATAGGTAAACCATTTAGGTACCTATAAATTGTTTTAGATTTAGGATCAGTTTTGTAGGTATTACTATCTGAACATTTTCAAATAAAATATTGTTATGGTTTCATTATTCTACCCTTTTATTTTGCAATAATATTATTGACATCATCACGATATTAACGTTATAAGACATTTTACATCATCCACTAGTAATATAGGTACCTAATGAAGACATTTGTTTTTAAAGAAAATTGCTTATACTTACTTACTTTTTAACCTTGATAAAATGACATTGACACCCCCAATTTCATTTAGCCCTTGGATTATATAACTTTTGTTACATAATATATAAAAACAAACTAACTAACAACGCAAATAGTGAAACAAAATAAGTAGGTATAGTTACCTAAATCTGAATACCAATTATTATTATTCATATTTCAATGAAAGTTCAAATATTAATGCGGCAACAATTTAAAACCACAAAACACGCACACACATACACGCACAAAGTCTTTGTTTTTCTTTACCAAAAAAACACAAGAAAAATTCCTTATTTTCGAAAAATCGAATTGATGCGGGGCGGCGAGCGGCGCAGGATGCAAACATGCAGATGAAACATGCTGATGTTTTCCGAAAGGTAAAAGGCGTCGCGACGCTCCGCTTCGGGGGCACATCGACGACTGCCGCCCCCAGGTCGAGCTCTCGCTCGCCCGCCCCCGAAAAAAGAAGTCGATCGCGGCGGCCGTGAAATTCGGGGCGCAAACGCCGCCGTCGCGACGTCATAGATTACGTCACGGATTTTTGTGTGAAACTGGAACAATCAGAAATTATTCTGATTCTAATACCGATGTAAGTTAAGTTACAATTCTAATTATTTTTCATCAATTAAATAAAAAATAATTCAAAATTATGATTCTTAATTTGATTTCGCTAATGTGGATATTAAAACATGGATTTTACTATACAGGGTGTCCCAGTAGCGTATCTACCGGTGTGCCATGTGTGCGAAGCACACAGGCCCGGGCCAGAGAGGTGCCCGTGAGCTCCATAGCGAAACTGCAAAAAAAAAAAACGTAAAAAAATCGAGATTACACCAAGAAAAAAAAAGTAGCTACATAAACTTCAACATACTGAAACAGGAGATCCTTCCCAGACCCAAAATAGGAATTCTAGGCTTCAAAAATTTTTCGCATTAGTTAACAAGTCAGCAACCGAGGGTTGGTTTTTAAAAAAATGACTTTATTAACAATTCGAAATTATTACTAGCGAAAGCACGTTACAATAAAAGTTATAAGTATAATAAATTTCAACTGACTAACTATCCTAAGAAAATACATATATTTATAATAAGCTGAAAAGCAGAATAAGCATTTTAAATGAGGACTCAGCAAATAGACGTGATATAACTCCTCCCTTCTTAGCTTCAACTTTCACGCTAGCGGGGGAGTTGAATACTCCGGTCTTCTTCTGGAACGGGGGTGGACCTCTTCTCTTTCATGCAGCTTTTACATATTTCATGTTTCATGTAAACCAAGAAGATACAGGCAATAACGATGAGGACATATATAAGGATTGTCCCAAGGCTGGGCAATCTATTGATTTCGGTGAAGCTCAGTTGTGGGCGTATGTCCAATACTTCTTTGCTCAATTGATGAAGGTCGTCTAACTTCAAATAATTTAGATGTCGACTTAGATTGAGGGTCGGCATCATGGCGAGTGTATTTGGTATGTCAGGAAACAGTATTGGTTGAGTATCGGTCTTGATTGTCCTATTTTCATTGATGACTCTTTTGGAAGCGGTGGCCACTTGGCAACCAATCGGTATTTGGAGCATAAATGTTCCAATGATGTTTTGTACTTCTTTTTGTTGAAAGCACTTGAGTTGGATGGCTTCTTTGACAGGAACAACCAATATCCATTGGTTGGAATCGTCCAATCGATTGATGATAATTTGTGGGACTTCAACTTTGGTTCGTTCGCAGGTGGAGGTATTTTTGTCAGAGTGGAGTAGTTTAATTTCGCATGGGCTGTCTTCTTGAATTTTGTGAATGTCTTCTTTCCCACAAATATGGGACTTCGGAGTGACTTCTTGACATTCTTGGTATGTGTAGTGCAATTTATTTTTCAGCAAGAATTTATTTCGCGGTAAGACAACCTTAAACTGACTCTGGAAAGTACTGGAACCAAGTATAAATGAAAGTAATCAAAAATTTCCGAATACATTATTGGTATATGTATTAGGTATGTTATTCTATTATTAATGACAAAAGATTCCAGTTCAATTATTTTTTCAAAAAGTGAAGTATTTTCCAAAGTAACCGCTACGGGCATTTGTTCAGAACTTAAACGCTGTTGAAGTTTGTTTAATTCATGATAAAGGTCTTCAGTTTTTATTATGCTTGGATGCATAATTTTCAATTTTGAAAAAGTTAAGGAATTTTCTATATCTTGTAAAATAGAGTCAATTATCTCATAGATATTGACTATTTGATTTATTATGTCTTTGATATAGAGGGAATTTTCTCTATATGCTGCCTTCTGTACCATGTGTGCAATTTGGTTAATTTTTGATTCTAGAAGTTTTTCGTTGTGATTTATTTGTTTAATGGTTTGGTTAAATTTTTCGATTACTGTTAGAGAAAGCGAGTTTTCTTTCAGAACACTTTCTTGTAAACTATTTTGATTGTTTTGTAATTCCCTAATGATATGCTCGTAACGTTCTCCGTCAGATGCGTCTAGGTTTCCAGTTACAGATTTGAATATTGATCCTAAGCCATTAATTAGTCCTGTTTTAATTCTTTGTGGCTGAGGAATAATCTCTGATATTTTTGTATCAATTCTATTCTGTGTTATTTTCAACAAATTTATGTAATTGCTAATGTCTTCAGAATAGTCTTGATGTCCATTAAGAATGTTTGTAATATTATTAGATTTTACGTGAAGCTTATTTATTTCACGTATCTATTATTGGGTTCAAGTCATAATAATGTATCAGGGTGTAGGTGTAATCTTTGATTTTCGCGTTCCCTAATTTGACTGGAATTATGCCAGGATTGTCATCCAGTTTTCTGATGATTATTTGTTCTTGAATCCCAAACGCGTAGGCAAAGAAACTGAAATATAATATTTATTGTTATAAAGCTAATAAGCAAGCGTATGATATAAAATGCATTTAAAATAGTTAATTAGAGTAATTGTAATATTATATTTTATTCTTAAAACTAGGTGTCAAAACTGTATTTATTTCTCAAGGGACGTTTAATGTTACCCCATGTGTACTTTTCCGTGGGAGGTCGTTGCAATTGTTTTACGTACTGGGTCAACGGTTTCCACTTGTGTCTGAGGTGTAAACTTATCGGCTAGTTTTTGACGTGTATGCTTTTTAATGTATATTTTTTGTTCTGGGTGGAATAATGTTGGTTTATCGGAAGTTTCATTAATCTTTCCTATGATTTTTTCTTTCTGATTTATAAGTGTTTCATTGATAAGAGTTTAGACTTATTTTTATGTTCTGTGACATAATCTGTCAATAAAAGTTGGTCTAATTTTAGGTCAAATGGATCGTTTGGGCTAATGTGTCCTGAAATAACATCTATTGGCTTGAATTTAGTCACCGAATGGATGGTGTGATTATATGCTAGGATTGCATATTTCATTTTTTGGCTGATTGAGCCACGATTATTTAGAATTCTTACGTGTTCGGATAAAGTGGAGTGTACCCTCTCGATAACTCCGTTAGACTGGGGGTGCTCGGGCGAGCAAAAATGAATTTTTATTTTATGAAGTTGTAATAGTTCTGTGACCACTGTATTTTTAAATTCAGTTCCGTTGTCTAAAATGATTTTGGATGGAACACCGTGATGTGAAAAGAACGATATTAAATTATCGCTAATTTCGGTGGCTGACAATGAATTTAGGGCGTAAGCTTGTGCGTACTTGGAAAAACTGTCAATGATTGTGAGAAATTTAACTTTATCTAATGTATATGTGTCAAGGTGAATAGTTTCAAAAGGTTTGGTTGCCGTGGGTGTAATATTCATTTCCATGTTTAATGGGTGTCGTTCGTATTTACTTCGTTGGCATATTTCGCATTCATTTATGTACGATTGAATAGACTCTTTAAGATTTGGCCAGTAATACTTTTCTTTAATACGCATTTCGGTTTCCTCGATTCCGCGATGGTTCGTCTTACTCTCATGGTAGTTCTGTATTATTTCCGGTATACTTTATTTATCTACTATGTCGATTAATTTTTTCAAACATCTTTTAATTCTAATCGAGGCCCATTTAAAATTTTTCCTAACCACTTCGCAGAATGGTTCATATGTATCTGGGTTCTCAAAATAAGCATAGTATAATTTACCTGGCACAACGTTTTCTTTTATAAAATTAATTGTATCATTTTCAAAATCATTTTCTGATATTTGAACTAAAAATCTTCTCTTCTTTTCAAATAAAATTAGTCTTTTTGTTTTGGCTGGTGAGTGCATGACCTTTGTGACGATTATTTGATTTGCTCCATAGTTAACAACAGATTCTTTAATTGGAATTCCAACAATAGGGTCTTGTTCAGCATTAGTATGGATAGTTTCGTTATCGTCTTCAGCTGTTGCTTCGAGGTCAGGTTGCGCCATAGTTGATATTTGGTCTAGGTTCTCAATCTCTTTGCTGGTCGTTGGATTATTTTCCATTCTAGCTTCTTCCTCTAATTCTTTATTGAATTCTTCAATATATGATACTAGATTCGATAGATTGTCGGTTTCTTTAGTGTGTAATTCAATACGGCTTAGGGCGTTTGCATTTGTATTGAGTTTACCTTTTTTATAAATAATTTGGTAATCAAACTCTTATAGTTTGATTCGCCAACGTACCATTTTCGATGTGGGGTCTTTATAATTGAAAAGCCATTGCAAGGGCTTATGGTCCGTTATGATATTGAATTTTTGTCCATAAAGGTAGGGTCGGAAGTACTTCGTCGCCCAGATAAGACACAGGCACTCCTTTTCAATAGTGGAATAATTTTGTTCTGAATCATTCAAGGTGCGAGATGCGTAGGCTATGGGCAAATCTTGTCCAATGGGCCCTTGTGATAACACAGCACCTAGGGCTACGTTACTAGCATCACATGTTAGATTAAATGTCTTCAAAAAATCTGGGTATTGTAGTATAGGTTCATTTACAAGTAATTTTTTGCAATTTTCAAAACATTCGATAAATTCTTGGTTGTGTTCAATCTTTGTACCTTTCTTCAAGCATTTCGTGAGGGGTTTTGTGATTTTTGCAAAATTATCTATAAAACGTCTATAATATCCGAGTAGTCCGAGAAAGCCTTTGATTTGTTTTGTTGTTTTTGGAATTGGGTAATTTTTAATGGCTTTGATTTTGTCTGGATTTGGTCGTACTCCTTCTGGTGTCACTATATGGCCTAAATATGCTACTTCTCGTCTGAGGAATTCACTTTTATCCAATTGAATTTTGAAATTGGTTTCACGTAGTCTTTGGAAAACCAATTTGAGTCGTTCTAAGTGCTCTTGTAGTGACGTGGAAAATATAATAATGTCGTCGAGGTACACAAGACATTTTTCGTTCTGGATTCCTCGTAATATACTGTCCATGGTCCTTTGGAACGTGGCGGGGGCGTTCTTCAGTCCAAATGGCATACGAAGAAACTCGTAATG